TTCCATATCCTTAATTATTTGATAATTGATTGAAAAGGGAATGTCAGAAATTTCCGTTATTTTATACTTTCATCAAATATCTTGAATTCCCAACAGGTTTTTGAATTATAAATTTTATATAACATCAATTAGCACATAAAATTACCTGTTACATCTATTATATCTTCTCCGTGGAGTGTGCCTATCATCAATATGAAATATCCATTTTTGTTACATTTAGGGATTTTTAAGTTTTGGGGGGGGTAGCTGGAACATTTTAAAATCCAACATTAGTATGTAGCATTGTTTCCATTTTATTTAAACTTCATTGGGATGTCTTTGCCCAGCTCTCTTTCAGTCTTCTGTCTTATTTCCTTTTAAGTATGTATCATAAATATCATTTACCTGGATTTTCATTCATTAATTGACTTACAAATACGTTGATTTGTTAATTCATCAGGGGAGTTATTCTTCTTATGGTGATCTGCTCTATTGGTCTTTATAATAATTAGAAATTGGATTTGCTGCATAATAGAATATCAATTATCAGTGGCTTAAAAAAACAAGTGGGATGTCTGTTAGTAAAAAAAGAGAGAATGGGTATTGGATACACAACTAAGCTCCATCCCAGTCTAGGTCCCATGTCTTACGGAAGAGGCAGAATTACATGGCGGTTACAATTTTTGAGAGACATGGACTAAAATCTTGGCTCCTCCACTTCCTACTGTGTAACCTTCAGCAAGTTAATTTTCTTAAATTGGATTCTGTTCTTATAATATGAATAATCTCCATTAAAGTATTCCAGGGAAAGTTATATGGTAATACATGTAAACCATTCAGTTTACATAAGCATTAACCATTAGCTGATACTTTAATTTCTGATTTGTTACTTTTTATTACTTTTATTTATTTCCTTGTATCTTTGACTTGGATAATTCCATTTTTAATACACAACATAGGAATATTGGGTAAATCAAATTCAGAACAAAAATTTTTAGCATTATATACCTGTTAAGATTTTTTTCTTAATATTTACATCAAGGTCAAAAACCCATTATTTTTATCTTTCATTAGGCACCACTTTTATCTTTCTTCTTTTTTTTTCTTGAGTACTTTCTGTATTTATTTTCAAAGGAAAATGTGGGTGTTATAATCTCTGAATTCTTGAATATCCAAAAATGGTTTTTATCTTGCTCTCACAAGTGAACAACAATTTGGTTGGATGTAGAATTCTTGGCTTGCAATCTTCTTTTTCTAAACTCTCAGTAAATGTTGTTTCAGTGTCCTCTAGCACTTAAAACGACCTGTTCTCAGGGGTGTCCAACCTTTTGGCGTCTCTGAGCCACACTGAACAAAGAAGAGTTGTCTTGGGCCACACATTAAATGCACAAATATTAAAAACTGATGAGCAAAAAACAAAGTTTTAAGTAAACTTACAATTTTTTGGGGGGCCGCATTCATAGCCATCCTGGGCCACATGTGGCTCGCAGGCCGTCGGTTGGACACCCCTGTCAGCTAGATGCTACGCTCTTGTCTCTCAGCGCCCAACCCACCCTCTATCCTCTGCTCTGTGATGTGAGGCCAGGACTCAGCAATTATGTGTCCTGCGTGAGCTCCCTTATGCTCATAGTTAGGCTCTGCTGACCGGCATCTAGAAACCTAGAGGGGAGGAAGGGAATTGCTTCTTTGATGTTTTGCATCTGTATTTTTAAGCCTCACCTATTCAATGATATTTTACTCCTGTAGCAGCCAGTACTTAAGAAACGATTCAAAAACTGTTTTTTTCCCTCAACGCTGCCAGAACCAGGCTCACAGCATCTAAGAGGTACAATTACCAGGCAAGCCAGGCCCTGTCCTCCTAGGTCGGAATCTCACCTCCCACGGGTACCTCTCGTAAAATGCTAAACATTGATAATCCTGACCTCTTTTTGTTAATCTCTCAGCCAGTGTGGGGGTGCAGCTTCTTGCAGTTGTGACATCTGTGTTCTTTTTGCTTTTCAAATCCTCCAAAACTAGTTAACAGATTTCTAGAACCTCACTAGGAACAGTAGCTGTAATTTTAAAAAGTTTAATTACATAGTCTACGTTAATTCTTTCATGGGAGGTCATTTCATCTCTTTTCTCTGCCTGATCTTCTTGTTCTCTTATACTTCCCACATGGCTGTCAATTTTCTGTTGTCTGCTAATATTTGTTAAGTGAAGGTTTAAAGTATTCACAGTGTCTGTTGTTAACTGTGTTGACTGCTGTTTGGATCCTGAAGGTACCTATAACTATCCACCAACTAAACAGGGAGATTTTAGCCCCATTGTGGAAGTCAGAGCCTCAATTTATGGTGCATTTTCCCACACAGATAAACCCGGCGGGTAATGCTGTGGCCAGCAACTCTGCAGACCAGGCCGTCTTTGGATGGGGTCTCGAATTATTCAGTTTATTTTTCTCTGACTGCTTTCGAAGGTGCTTCCGAGAAAAAATAGTGTTGCCACTAGCTAAGAGGTTCCTCTTCCGCAACTGCTTGGCTTCAGAATGCCTCCTCTAGCCCTATCTGGCTTTGTGGCTCCATCTTCAATCTGTGCCTCAGGTGGAGAGCTTTCTACCCTTGCCAAACAGCCAGTGTTTCCAGATTTTGCCCCTTCAACGCAAGAGGAGGTCTGAGAATTATCTCCCATTTCAACCTGACTCACTGAACAGTGTTCATGGCATTTAGGTCCCAGTGCCTTCTTTTGGTTTGGTATGCATTTTTCTATTTGCTGTGTATTATTTCTGGTTAATGTTCTTTAGGTTTGTGATATGAGGTCAGTATTGTTCTCAGTTTCAATAAAACTAACAATTTTTTTCTTTTTGGTTAATTTCTATGATTTGGGGGATTGTAAACATCTGCTCTGTCACCATCTTTCTGGAAGCATGTCAATATACGATATATACTTGAAGAATCACTTATGAAATTTAGTAAGAGAGAAAAATATGTCCATAGGTAAAGAAAAGAAAAAGTATTTCATGAAAACTATGTATTAATAATTATCAATATGCTGATATATATACCCACCCTCACATATATAGAAAATCTCCATATATCCACTCCCAACATTTTTCCTGAGCTTTTGTCTTACACGTAATATAAATGTTAAAACGGACACCAGTAACTCCGATGTTTTAAGTAAGCTGCAACACTGCCACTTACAAAGCAGTTAGAAGAAAACCAGTTGAAGCTCTTAGCATATTACCCAATCACATGTAAATGAGGATCAATTGGAAATAGAAAAGGATTTTTGAAACAAGTTGTGTTGTAGCAGGGGTGTGGGATTATATCCTTTCATGTGAAGCCTAAAGAAAAAGGCTTTCGAGAGACCACTCAGAAATTTCAGTTTGCACCTCTTGAACTTTGAGGACACAGTGAACTGACATCTGGCTCACCTGTGATAAGCAACTGTCTGGCTAGCTGCTCTGTGCGAGAGAAGTTGCCACACTGAAGGTAACCTGCCCTTCTCGTGTTTGTTGGGGCAAAAAATGCTTGCGCTGTCCATGGGCCAGATGTGAGTCCCCTGTGAGAGCTTCTCTTCCCTGCTCAAGAGGCATCTGGCGGGTAAGGGTTCCAGCAGAATATAGGACTGTGAGGTGCCCTGAGAAGAGACTTGTGGGCAACCAGTGGTTCACGCAATTCACAGGCACTGCAAACAGGACACGTAGCAAGGAAATGTTATCAAGACAGCAACTCACCTGCCCCCTCCCCTTGCATTTCTCATCCCCTTTAGGAGATACCCATCTCATTCCTAGCATGCAGTGTCTTCTAACGTACCATAGCCATTAAGCTCCATGCGGGCAGGCATCTTTGTATAAGTTGTTCACTGATGTATCCCAATCACCAGAGTAATGTATGTATCATGATAGGTACTAAAGAAATAGTTGTTGAATGACCTGAACTGAGTTTGCCAAAGAGCAGTGAAAGAACTGAAAGTAAACATTAAACACTTCCCATGCTCAGAGAGCCCCAGGGTGAGAACATCATAATCTAAGACCAGCTGAGTCCAGCTTCCCAGCCCTGATCTTCCCGTTCTGTTCACTCCCCTAAATGACCTACAATTCTGCAGAGGCCACAGACAGCCAAGTCACTGGGCAACTAGGAATAAACCCCAAAAAGGATTAATAGAGAAGAAACTGACCTCTTTCCCAGTACAGGTGACCTGCCCCAGGAATACTTGAGCTGAAAGAGTAGAAGCTTTCATTGTAAAAGAAGTCATTTTTATTGTTAGCATTATTAATACCATACTGGACTGGATACATTAAGGAAACAAATGGTTTGGAAACTAGAAATAACTAGAGGAATATTCGTTTACCTGCACTTGACCTGAATAGTCAAGGGGGCTGCAAAAGATTTCATCCGAATGCATTGAGGGTTTTGGAGGGATAAATGGCTAATTATATTATACAAGCTCTGCTGATTTTGTAGACTAGACACATTGGCAGGTTGAAAGCATTCATTTTTTTTTTACTCACTGTAGCACTTTCTCTCCTCAGGATGGTCCAAGTTCAGACCATCCTGTAGATGGACATGTCTGGGACTGTTTCTTCTACAGTATCACAGGGGATTCAACTCCAAAGTCTTTATCTAATAGCCCCCATTTTCTAGCATGTACTAAAGTATATAATTTATATTAAACACTTAAAAATGTTTGATAAGTGAATGAATAAGTAATAGAACTTCTTGGGATTAGAAAGGTTTAGGAGCAGCAGGAAAGGCAAACTACTATGAAGTATGTGAGAGTTAAAATTAGGTAAGTAAAATGGGTGGGTACATGTTAATTTATTGAATATCCAGTAGAGATCCAATCAGTTTTTTCTCAAAAGAAAGGATGGAAAAAAAAATGAACAAATGTATACAAACATAAATAAACTCTGAAAAGTGGCTATACATGTATAGGCAAGGTAAAAAGAAAAACCAATTCTATTGACTTGTTTATTCATCTATGTTCATGTCAATAAAATAGATTTCGTACATTTGTCTCTGTTTTATCTTTTTTTTCAGGTGATCCTTGTCTTTGTCCTAAGCATTGGGTCTCTTATAATCTATTTCATCAACTCTTCTGAGTGAGTAAAATCCCTAGTCACCTTTGTGTGCTTTTTCATTAGGTTGCCAGCTAATTTGGAATTTTATATCAAGAAAAATGGTTAATATACTTTTAAACATATTCACATAAAAAGGATAAGTGTTTGGTTCCCCCCAGAAAGCACTAAAACCAGTTCCACAAAAATACACGATGGCTCCTGCATCCAGCCGCGCTGCATTGCGAGGAGCTCGGGTGCCATGCACATATCTACTCTCGTCTCTGGCACTGCAAGCCTCCCGTGGGTCCTCTTCTCCTTGGGCCACTTAGGGGGGCTTCCTATGCCTCTGGATCCTTTAGATGTTGAAGTGGAAGTTCTGTGGTTACTTCAGGGTGTCTCATAGGTTTCAAAAAGCTTAGAGTAGCCTTGAAAAAGAAAAGTGCCAGATCTTACCTGGGACAAAGGAGCAAATTACTGTCTGCTCCTCTCTGAAGGCATTTTCTTCTTTCATGCCAAAGTGCGAATGAACCCAATCTAATCTGAACCCCATGCTAAACCCCTGGGAATTTCCTTGCATTTCCAGCTGAGGTGAAATTGGGATTGCAGGGCCAGAAGTCAGGCATCTTTAGAGGTCCTAGGGAAATGAGTAATCTCTGCTTTGAGAATTCCTTACTGAACTTCTAGGAAATTGTTTTTTTAATTTGTTATGGGCCAGTTCATTTGACCTAGAGTAACTCTGTATCAAAAGGGTACAGAATCTAAATTTTCGAGTTGGGTAGATGGTCATACAAACCAAGAAGAGCCACATAATTTCTAGGCCTCTGAATCTCTACTGATGAAACAGAAGTAGAAGCAATAAACTCTGTAAAAGGAAAGTAGGTAATTTTCCTGTTATTTTCAGCTCCACATACAGTCTAGTGGTTTTATTCATGCATACCTCTACTCCCAAGATAAAAGAAATTTCCTTGAGATATGAATGTAAGTGTCTGGATTAGTTCTTTTTATTTTGCACTATATAGACGCAGCTTTTAAAATGTGCATCTTTATAAACCAAGCATCCTGGTTTCTTTTCCAGCCCTGCGGGAAGCTGTTCTTCATACCAGGACAAAACCATCCCTATTGATTTGACTTTCAATGCTTTCTTCTCTTTCTATTTTGGGTTGAGAGTAAGTACCTATTGAAAGTGGGAGTAAACAGACAAAACACAACAGGTACAACACAAAGAGATCTGTGTGTGCCTTGGTTATACAATCAGCCTACGTTTTCAGGCTCTAAAGTTAAAGGGCCTATGCCCTAAATTGTTAAATGTATATACTAGGACATAATAGCTCTCCCTCCCGCATCTGAAGCTGTAAACCAGGCCAAAAATTCCAACACGAAAAAATCATCAACCTGTCACACTGCCCTCCTCATTGGCTTTCCACCAACCATTGAGAAAGGTTTGCTAATAATCACAAGTTAGCAGAGTCTAAACAACAAGCCTCTGAAAATGTTATTGGCTTCACTGATGGCATATGTAGCCATGTAACTATATAAAATACTTCTATATCTTTTGTTTCATTTTTGTTATACTCATATTAAATAGTTCTCTCATTCCACAGGGATTTATTGAGGACCATCCTAGATATAGATTTCAGTGTATTTATCCATCCCATGCTTTTATATACATATAATTTAGATACGTTATATACAAGGTCTGTCTGGAAAAAGTCCAGCTATTGTTAATATACCAAGAATGGTTTGCATGACATTGATGTAACCTGACAGCCAAGGAGAGTGGGCTGGAGTGCGCATGTGTGAACAACGATGACTTCACTCTACTAGTCAGCAGGGGTGGTAGATGCTGCTGAGTGAGCATGTGCACTGTGTCATTTTCGAAATGACTGAGCAAGGAGAGCAAAGAATCTACATCAGATTTAGCATTAAGTTTCAACATCTCTCCGTGGAAACTATTTGGATGATTCACAAGGCCACAGCTATGGGCAACAGGTGATTGGCAGCTTCATGGTGACAGTGTACCCACTCATGCATCACATCTTAAGCAGAGTGTTTTGGTGAAACATCAAATCATCCAGGTGACTCAGCCCATCTACAACCCAGATTTGGTGCCCCGAGACTTCTGGATTTTGCCAAGACTAAAATCGCCTTTGAAAGGTAAAAGATTTCAGACCATCAATGAGGTTCAGGAAAATACAACAGGGCAGCTGATGGTGATTGGGGGAACTGTGTGAGGTCCCAATGTGTCTACTTTGAAGGGGACTGACGTGACATTGTCCTGTGCATAATGTTTTGTGTATTCTACATCTTCAATAAATGTCTCTTTTTCATATTACATGGCTAGATACCTTCTGGACAGACCTCGCATGTATATAATATGTATTTCTATGACTCTCCTTCAGAACATACTCTGACCACACTGACCAACAAAATCTTTTTACAACAAACTCTCCTTTCTGGAAATGCTTATTTTCTTCATCTAAATAGGGAAGGTCATAAACACAGGCCTCAGCCAACCAAAGTTCTAGAGAGCTGTATCTTTTTCATCGAAGACCATGCTAAATCATGTTTCCTCATTGCTTATGAATAGAGGGTTTCAGCTATATAATTTTAAAGCTCTGGGAGCAGCAGAAAGGTCAAAGTGTGAGAGTTAAGATCCAGCAAGTAAAATGAGTTCCTGTTCATTTATCAGACACCTACTAAAGGTATAATCTTTGTATCTACCTAAACATATATGTATCTATATAAATATATATTATATATAGCTATATAATATGTATGTGTGTGTATGTGTATATTCATACAATGGCATTAGATCACAGTGCCAATTGATGAATGAAATGTGGCTGAATAAAGCTATCCTAGTGTTCACACAGAATTTGGGATCTTTTGTTTTTATTTCATAGTTTTTGGCAGCCAATGACAAAATCAGGTTCTGGTTGGAGATGAATTCAATTGTAGACATCTTTACCATCCCACCAACATTTATTTCTTATTATTTGAAGAGTAATTGGCTAGGTAAGTATATTGTGGGAATTGGAAGCAATCTCTTAAAAAAGCCTCAACATTCATCCGTAGGCATCCTCCATTTTCCTAAAAAAGCCTCAACATTCATCCGTAGGCATCCTCCATTTTCCTTTAAGGCCTAAATGCCATTTAAAAAAATTCCTCACTGTACTTTTATGCTTTTGTAATATATTTTCAGAACCCTTTTTTTTTTTTTACCTCAGTACCTAGCAATGTGATGTACCTGATGCACAGTAGGTATTGGTGTTTGATATTGTTAATGGACTGGCTCATCCATGAATTGAGAGGCAAGGCCTCAGCACCCCCTCCCCCTGGGGCCCCTTTATGCTGGGATCTGAGTGGGAGAGATGAAAAGCCTCCATAAGTCATCATATCCAGACACGCTGTGACATGTTAGAGATTTATGTAGTTACTCAGTCTTTAAGGTAGACATATTGAGAGTGCATGGGAGTCATAGGGCTTTTACTAGTTTCTATGTAATTTTATATTACTATCTATAAAATATTTCTCGCTATAATTATTATCAAACTACATAAAATAAAGCATCACACAGTGAGAAACATCATGGACATTCTGTAGTTAGAAGTTTAAATGGCTTATGGATAATTTGCTTTTTAATCTAAGGAAGGATTGAGTAAAATGTGAGTAGTGCTTATTACAATATATGCTGTCTATAATCTCAGCAACCCTATGAAGTAGGTACTATTATAATTCCCATTTTATAGATGAGAAATTGGAGAAGTTGAGGGCATTGTTTTAGATTATAACAGCTAGTAAGTGTCAGGGCTAGGATTTGAATGAGAGCTCACACTCTTAAACCTACAACACTATAATATATTATGAGCATTTCAGGGAGGGAGAGTGTAATCACTCTGAATTGGGTTATAACTCAGGTCACTCCCTGGAGTAATCAACCCTTTTCTTTTGGTGGCTTTCTCCTTCCCGCTGCTTTCTAGGTTTAAGGTTCCTAAGAGCACTGAGGCTGCTAGAACTCCCTCAAATCTTGCAAATTCTGAGAGCCATCAGGACCAGGTAAATGCCCTTCCTCAAGCACTGCTTACTCACTGGGGTTAGGGAATTAAATGTTAGCTGAACCTTCAACCCATTTCTCATCAAAATTCCGGTGCAAAATCATGAAACCCTGTAGTTGCCAAGGTATTATCTGCTCACTGTCTCCCACTGTGTTAACATCACACACTTTGCAATTATTTGAAGATTTTGTTTCTTCTTTGTTTTGTAGAGCTACAATGTGTAAGTCCATTTAGGCTTTAATTCCCCTACCACCACCACCTAAATAAAAAGTCAAAAACAATTCAGAGGCTTTGTTCTATATACATTTGCTGCTATGAATCACGTCTTTCCTGGCTAGGAATGTAAGACAATCCCTCTGAGTATGAAAGCTGCCAGGTAGCTGCAGTGAACTATTGCTCACAGAAAGAGAGCCACCCAAATGTCTCAAAAAAAAAAAAAATCTGACTACCTTTGAGCAGCAATACTTCTAAAGTTTTAAGCAGTTTGGTCTTATGTTACCCATTGAAAATCTCCATGCCTCTACGTCGTCACTGGAAGCATCAAATATTACAGGCCCAGAAGATTTCACTGCTAAATGTTCATGCATGATGGAGAAGCCAAGATCGTAAAAAGCTGTGCTTCTGTGCCAGGTGGCCCTGCCTGAAAACCACAGAGATTTCAGCCAAATGCTAGGGCTTTATTCAGGAGACAGGAGCTTGTCTGATCCTCTTCATTCAAAGGTGCTGGTATGAGTTTAGCAATATGAAACCACATTTCTCTGGCATACCCAAAAGTTCACTTTGCAAGCCTACTCTGAATTCCCGGGACACTGAAGTCTGTACAGTTACTTTATACAATTAGCCATTTATTAAATTTATTTTATGGTGATACACATATAATATGCTTTTAAAAGCAGTATAATATTAGGCTAGTGGATGTCATAGCAATATCTAAGCTTTTTGAACAATGGGTGAAACTGGATGTATTTTAGAGCTATGCATCTTCAACTCTAATGTCTCTGAATCAAGGAAAGGATCTTGTAACACTGCAGATTTGTAGATGAGGGCTGGGTCCTTGGATTGTGCATTTCTAATATATTACATCAGGTACATGAACCACACTTAGAGTAGCAAGATTTTAGGGAACAAGGTATTTGTGTTGTCTGGAACCTGTTAGAACCTAACATCTCTTTGTCTTTCTTCCTCTAGCAATTCAGTGAAGTTTTCCAAACTGTTATCAATAATTCTCAGTACCTGGTTCACAGCCGCAGGATTCATTCACCTGGTAAGCATCTCCTCAAACTCCCTAATGTTGCCGGTCAGCATGAATGTCTTTTCTTTAAAAAAATGGAGATAATCCTTTTGAACTCTTGTCTCTGTCACTGTAACTAGTGTGAGGCTTTTCAGGGTTTTCTCCACCCTCATATTTATCACAAATGTGTATCTCCTACACTCAAGGTATCTGTATTCATTCTTTCAGCTTCCAAAACCTACCCTAGGAAAGCTTACCCTTCAGAGGTATAATCAGTAGGTAAAATTTATTGCTGTATCTTCATAAGTGTTCTGGCATTTTTAAAAAAGGATAAAAAGTCAAATAAATGAAGCTAGAGAGAGAATTTTATACTCATAAAACCCAGAAAATTGTGGAAGATGTGTTTCTGAGTTATAAAGGGGAGCCATGGGGGTTTCTTGGTTCTGAAGTTAATCAGCTTCCTTTGCCTATAGGAAAGGTTAGTTTTTAGGACACATTAATCAATAATATAATAAATAGATTTCAACAGTAAGAAAGAAACTCTCAGACTTCATTGCTCTAAAACAGTGGAGGAGGGGTCATTAGAAAATACAAAAATTGAAGTGAGATGTTAAGAGCCTGCACAGGCCTTTGAGAAAAGTGAAGCAAAACAAAAAATATAGCAGCAGTTATTTTCATGTGAGTCCTTGTCTCAAAGTTAATTAAAACAATAACAAGAAAAAAGAAAAATGTCAAACACCAAATGCAAATTGTGATAAAAAACTTTAGGAAATCTGAAACCAGCCATATCCTTCCTCAACACTCAAATATGCAGGAGAGAAATTTTCCTGAAACAAAGTTCAACAACAGTAAAGGCAGGTCCCTAATTCTAAAGGATTTGCCCTCGGGGCCTGGGGCGGTCGTCAGTGTCTCTGCGGTGGACTCGCACCCAGTGCAAGTCCCACCATCATCTAGAGTGTTAAAAACCTAGAAGAGCTATATTCTAAAGCAAAGCAAACACCATATTTTGTTGAAAGGATATTTGAAATGACAAAGCAAAATGAAAGTATGATTGTCTCAACTCACCATCTTCCCATAGTCACAGCTAAAAACTGGTACCATTCAAAGGTATTAACCAGAAAGCGATCAATATTGTGCCTCTCCTTCAATTCTGCCCGAAATAACAAGAGGGTATGAAGGAGAGCAGGCATCAATTTAACTACAGTTACAAGAACAACAATTACAAGATAATTCGCACAAGGAAACAAAAGTTAAGAAAAAGCCCTTTATAGTTGAGAAAAATACAAATAAAGAGCTTTGAAAACAGATAATGATAATTCCAACAGAAGGGGTAAGATTTTAAATAAAAGAATATTAAACAGTAGCAGGAGTTGGAAATGAGCTGAAAGATGTCAGAGAAGAAGAAAAGTATCATAGAGCTGAAAACCACATTAGGGGAACCAAAATGTAGTAAATGTGACAACACTTGCTTAGAAACATGGTGGGCAGGGCTGAGGCAAAAACACTAACACGGAAAAGAACAAAGATACTCAAATGATGGTTGAGCAGAAGGTGGGCAATGTTGATTCAGCGTACTATAGAATTAGGGCTTCTGAAGAAAATGACATGACAAATGGCACCAGAAAAAATGTTTAAAATAAAGTTTCGAGTCTGTTGATTAAAGGGTATACTGAATCCAGGAAAAATAACCCTAAATTGTTTATTCTAACTATATTTTGGAGCAGTTTACTGACCTTTGAGGATAAGGAGAGAATCCAAGCAGAACAACAAGAAGTCGATACAAAGGGGAAAAATTCAAACGAGCCTCAGATTTCTTGGCAACATCAATCAATACAGGAAGATGATAGAGCAGAGTGTGCAAAGTTTGTGTGAAAGAAAGTGTAACCTGTCCTGTCATTTTAAGAGAAAATAACACCTATGAGGCCCTTTAAAAAAATGTGTCTTGATCATAAAACCCAGCCACAGAGGAGATGAATCAAAATTAGGAACTGAAGAATGAAGAAACCATGATAAACATTAGTGGTAGTGATTACTGAATGACTTTAAAAATAGAACTATGACATAACAAAGGGAATTATGGTTTATACCAGAACACACATATACAATGTAAAAATAATATATAACCAGTACAAATGATGGGGAGGAAGGAGGCGGGAGCGTTTCCTTCTGTCCTCCTCCATAGCATTTCTAATCTAAAATTGTAACAGAAAATTTAAAAATAAAAAAAATTCATTTGCTTTGAAATAGAGAGTTAAAAATAGATAATTCAGTATCTTAACATTGTTTCATAATCCTTTATCTTAACTTTCATTTACTTCCCACATGGGACCGACAGGTCCGTACTAATGTGGTCAAGAGGCAGAGCAGACTAGACCGGCTGACCAGCAGAAGGCTGCCATGTCTCAGGGGTCTGCAGGCGGAGTGGGGAGGGATTCGAAACACTAAAATAACACTCCCAAAGAAAGTGAGTGAAAACTTAGAGGGTTATTTAAATTATTATGAAGGAGATCCAGGTTGAAATAAATTTAGTTTTGGTTTGTATTGCATGTTGTATAAGGATATCACTAAAACTATGTGTTAAGATGTTAATAAAAGACACTGTAAGGTTTTATCTTAATGGGAGCTTTCCCAAATAACTGTTGTATTCCTCAGTGGAATATATACAGGGTGGGGCAAAAGTAGGTCTACAGTTGCATGGAAAATAATACAGTAATTAATAATACAAGAATAAACTTTTGCATACTCACAACTGTGTCTGTATATATCTATGTGTGTATATAGATTTTTAAAATGTGAATTAAACTTGATTTTCTAACAGTAAAATAGTCTCAGAAAATACCGAAGACTCTAGAAGTCAGTAGAAACAGATTAGTATACTTTGTAACATAATCTACCAGCCATGGGAATTAAGAATAGACACATAATTTCTTTCTTTTTTTGGAGTGGGAAATTATAGGAGTCCACACTCATAACTTACTCATCATATTTAAGAAAGGGTCAGCCCTGGGCATATCACTTTTAAAAAGTGATCACATACCTGCCCTGACCAGTGTGGCTCAGTGGGTTGGACATTGTCCTGCAAAGTGAAAGTTCACTGGTTTGATTCCCAATCAGGGCACATGCCTGGGATGTTGCCCAGTCCCACCAGGGATGTACAAGAGGCAACTGATTGATGTTTCTCTCACACATCAATCTTTCTCTCCCTTTCTTTCTAGCTTTCTTCTTCTCTCTCTAAAAATAAATAAATAAAAAACTTTTTCTAAATAAGTGATCACATACCTAAGCAAACTATATTATTTCTAATTTCCTTTCCAGTTCTTAACAAAACAAAATCCTACTTTCCCCAGGTATCTTCAGTATTTTATTATTTTTGTATCATATAGAAAAGAAATATGTCTAAGAAACATGTAAGCTATTTGGAAAATATGTCTAAAGTGGGAAAAAAGGGAAAATTATATATATTCTACATAATTGGTATATGTTATTTGTAATGATATACTCAGATATTATATATTTATAATTTGTTTATATATACTCTATATACATAAAATATAGTGTCATTACCTATATTACTCTTTTTATTTAATATAAAAAAGATATCTTGGTTAATTTAGTTTTCTTAAAATGTGAAGACTGAGGGGGAAAATTAGAGGAAATATTTTTTAGAGTTTATTTATTCACAGAAGAGATTTTTGTAGGGAGCGGGGGGAAAAACCTGGGAAGCTTGTTTGTTTGCTTTTCCTTAGACACTTGCTTTTATGAGGATCAGTTCACTAAAATGAAGTGCTGACTTGAGTGCTTCTTCATTTAATGATAAATGATCCTGATCTGGTGAAAAATGAGAATGAGCAGGAATTGCTTCAGGATGTAGTGATGTGCCCACATGAAAAGAGAGAGAGATGGGCAGCAAATTTCACTGTGAAGGCTTCCAAATGTGGGCTCAAACTACATGCCCCCTCAGATTTCAACAACAACCCCAGTGAAAGAAAACAAGACTTCACAATCGCTACCCACAATATACCAACACTTCATAACAGTCTAGGGATCATTTAATGTTTCATTAGAGTTGAATTAAGTGATTTTCCTTATCCTTTATAAACTTTCCCTTGTAATCCATTCAGAGACCTTTGATGAATCTTTTTGTTTTGTGGACAGGTAGAAAATTCTGGTGATCCCTGGCTCAAAGGTAGAAACTCACAGAATATATCATATTTTGAGTCCATTTACCTGGTCATGGCAACAACATCGACTGTGGGCTTCGGAGATGTGGTAGCAAAGACATCCCTAGGACGAACGTTCATCATGTTTTTCACCCTGGGGAGTTTGGTGAAGAATATTTTTAATATCTTTTGAATGTAGCTACGTAAATTAAAAGCATTTGGTTAATGGTGAGAAATAAAGCAGTATAGGCTTGAGAGTGACAGTTACATTGTTCAGGTGTCAAATGAAACGTTATATGGATCCCATGTTTTCCCAAACTGTATCTCCTGGAGCATGAGATGTAATTGTTTGCTTGCCAAAGATGAGGATTAGCCTCTCCATTGGTTTGAGCAACATTATCTTCCTTGATCTTTTGCCCATCAGATTAAAGTCTTTCTTCCGAAGAGGAAAGGCATTTGAGATTTGATCTGAAGAAAGTTCTGTTCTTTCCAGTTCAAATGAGTAAGGTCTCCAAACCAGCATTTTACTTCAGATGAGTGAATGTCTGTGTGTGGTTCAGGAGGGTGTGTCAAGAACAATGGAAGCCTCCTTTTCTTTTAGTTTCCAGTTTCAATTCCTTAAGAACCATACCAGAGTCCTCTACTGCACCTTTGTGACCTTCCCGTGTCCACATTGCTACATCGCCTCATTTCATTTTGCTTTAACTCTGCTCTGTCCTACATGCTCCCCACACCAACACCCTAGATAGTAGCAAGTCAAAGAGTCAGGAGGGCAGTTGGTAGTGATGAAGGGACAAGATGGGAAGGAGGTCGCCTTATATGCTTGTCCTTGTTTAATCACTTTCATCCTTCTGAATGCTGAAAAGCATTTTATTCAACTTTAACCAATGCAGAGGCTGAAGTAAGAAAGAAAAATGGTCTCTCTCTAAGTATATAGTTCACAGTGAAGCCCCTCATAGAGATGAGAGAAAGTTTTGTATACCTTCTTTCTTTTTTATGATCTCAGAATTAGGGGGTATCCTTTAAAATAACGAGGCTGAAAGTTTTATTTGCTGATCACTGTAGATACTATTTGCAAACTGTATCCCTGAGATGGTGGAAATTTTTGGTAACAAGAGGAAATACACCGTTTCTTACGATGTCCTCAGAGGAAAGAAGTAAGTAGTTTTCAAGTATAATTTCTATAGTTTGAGATAGTCTGCTAATCACATATCTATTTCTAAACACCTGTTGCACAGCCTAGGTGAATACACTGGCAGAACCCTTCATTCACCAAAGACGGCTGTGCTCAAATAAATACCATAAGAAGATAATATTTGCTACTTGATACAAACTACTATATAGATGTCCATAAGGGCATTAAATCAACTAAAATGACAGATCAGGTTGTCATTCACTGTCGAATATTGATTGTGACAGTATTTTGCCCTTAGTACTAACTGATCTTTTATACCCATTACTAATTATATTATTCATTTTAATCGTGGTTAACTGAGGCTGACTTTTACATAGTGCATCAAAATCAAGTCACAGTTTGAATTTAAAATACTTTAGTCCTCTTAGCCAAAACTCCCCTCAACCATATGGGCCTTGCCCACAGGTGAGATTTGCTAGAGTGAGGACCAATTTCGGCCCCTTCTCCAGCACTCCCTAGACCTCCTTGTCTGTGCCGCAGCCGCTGGTTTCTAGGAGAAAAACAGATTTGTTTTCACCCTATTTCATTGTGGATATATGTTACCTCAGTTTCCATTATGTTTTTTCACATCTAAGGAAAAAAGAATGAATCGGAGGTTTTGAATTCAAAGTGATTCTTTATTAGTTAGTCTCTATCTACTGTAGAGGAAGCAGGGACAGTGGAGGTGACTCTTTGGGAGTGGTCTCTTAACACAGTTGGATGAAAACCAACATTGACCTAGGACAAGAAATAATGAAATGAATCAAAACAGTGGAATGAACTAGATAAGCCAAAGTTCGATCCAGTTTAACTTGGGAAAGGGATATGTGAGCCATGAAAAATCAGCCAGTGAGGTATGGAAAATTTAGCATAAAGTAGGTTTTTAAAATGTGTATATTAAACCTAAAGAAATTGACAACTATTTCCCACGATAAAAGTTACATGCTTATAATTTGCACCTATCCTAGGTGTCTCTCCATTGGACTCACTTTTTTTGTGAATGCTGAATAATTTTAGATGTGGAAGATAAGCAGAAATAACCTAGATACCAGTGTTCCCTCAGCCATAGCATTTAACTATGGGAAAATCAATAAAACACTCTGAGCCACAGTTGTTCCTCTGTGAAAAATCATTTTATCATCCAATCAAGAATCAAGTGGAAAATCAAATCAAATTACACATCTACAAGTCCATTAGAAGTTATAAATAACCATGAAAATCATAGCAGTTATGAGTTATTGTTGGAGTCCTAAAAAGTTATGTGTAATCCAAATGTGTGAAGTGATAGCCTATATGAGATGCACTAGAGACAACAGAAATCTTCTGTTTCTTTTGTATCATGGAGATGCAGTTCTGATTGTTTCTATTTATCAAATGTGGATGATTCAAATACCAAATTTATTTAAAGCTAAGTTTAAGCTAATGGTCCATCTCTAAATCTAGACAGGAATATACTCGTGTTCCTCAGGTGACCCGCCCAACATGCTCTTGCCCCGTAGGTTCATTGTGGTCTGTGGAAACATCACCGTGGACAGTGTGACTGCTTTCCTGAGGAATTTCCTCCGTCATAAGTCAGGGGAGATCAACACCAAGATCGTTTTTCTGGGAGAGTAAGTGTATCTGTTTGGCTCGTGAGTTCTAAATCAATACTTGCAATATGTGTGAATGTTTTAAATAGAACAAAGTTAACATTGTAATATTCATAGAAAAGTTAGAAACAATAAGAAGCAAAAAGAAAAAGTAATTTCACAATCAGAGTTATCTTCTGAAAAAATCTGAGAATGTATCTTGTCAGATGTTTTTCTGTATACTCACTATTAAGTGATGCCCTATCATTAACGTTATTCTATACTTATTACCATTATGTACAACTATAATTTTGTGCACAGATCTGGTATATTTCATAATTATAATTCTAACTGTTAATGATCACAATTGGGCATCTAAAGCTCAAATTGATACACAGGATTTTTTTTTATCATTTTTTGTTCTATGCAGTTTACCTTTTCACAAGCAGAGTCAAATATTTTTCTAATTATTTTATTTTACAGTTTTAGTTCCTAGCGACAAGGGACAACTTTTGTGTGTTTTGATAGTTTGTTTTCCTTTTTGAAATTCCTCTTCATTTCTTTTATCCTCTTTTCTGTGAGACTGGTCATGTTATTTTACTGACTTTTAAGCACTTGATGCATTTTGATATTAGTTGTTTTATGTCATATGTTGCAAATATTTTTCTCCCTCTTTGCCTTTTAACTTTGTGTGCTTTTATTATAATAGAGAAGCATTTGGTTTCCATGCACTTCAATCCATCCACTCCTTATTTTATTATTATTATTTTTTTTTTTTTTGGTTTCTTGCTTTTCTTACATTCTTAGGCCACTCTGTTCTAGGATTAAATAAATACTTCTCTAGCACTTCTGTGTTTTCATATGGGAATTTTTCTTATATTCAAGTTCTCTGGAATTGACTTAGTATAATGCCAAGGGAGCTAACTCCCACCACCACTCCCGCCCCACCAAATGGTTAATCAGTTATTCAGACATCACTCAAACAAGCCAGACAGATTTGAAGTGATATTTTGATCCTATACACCTTAACCTTCATACATTCTGCAGTTAAAAGAGAAAACAAAGCATTGTTTTTGATACTGCTGTCTCCCTCAAGCCCTCTGAACACGTTCATCACTATCATCAATTTTATCTCCTAAATAAATTCTAATTCCATTTCTACTATTTCATTTCCACTATCACAATCCTGTTCAAAGTTAGTATCTTGTCTTTCCTGAATTTCTGAAAAGGCTACTGTATTGATTGTTTCTTTTTGCTCAGAATTTCTTCTACCTTTATATGACCAGTTTATTTTCATCCTTCAGTACTCAGAGAGACCTTCTCTACTCAATGTAACTAAATTAGTATCTTCTAACCCTTCTGTCTCTTTACTCTGTTATAGTCCCTTTAAAGCGCTTATCACCATCTATGACTTCTCCTCTCAGTAAAAGATGGAGTCTCTTTCTCCTCCCAGTGAATCTGGCCTGACCAGTGACTTGATTTGATAAATTGAATGCAGCAGGAGTGACACTTGATTAGTTCAGGCTTGACCGTTAGGAGGACTGGCAGTTTCAACTTTCACTCCAAGAGAGTCCTAAGCCCTAAGACATCATATAAAAAGTCAGACTAGCTTGCTGGGGAGAAGGCCCAGCCAGATCTTACCTGCTCTTATCAGGTGGCTGAGACAACGATCACGTGTGTAAAGTCATTTTGATCATTCTAGTTCTCAGTCAAACTCTCTGATGAATGTACCCACATGGTATGGCCACAGTTGACACTATGGAAAATTATCTTGCTGAGACTAGCCAACCACAAAATCATGAAAGATACTATTTTTGTTTTAGGTCAGTAAGTTCTAGAATGGTTCCTTTTGCAGAAACAAAATATGATATGGTAATAGAAGTGGGGTGCTATTATAACAAAAGTCAAAATGTGGTCTTTTCCTTAGAACTGGTGGTAGGCAGAGACTGGAAGGGTTGCATGGAGTCTTTTAGTAGAGGCCAGAAAAGCAATGAGGAAACTGCTATTAGGTATTAGGTATTGAAGACCTGAACTTCAGATCCATCCCTAGAAAATTAGTCTAGTGGAGTCAGTATCACCTAACCATGTGGATTAATAATGAATGGAATATATGTTTTTTCCAAGAGGAGATTAGGGGTTTTATTAAATGCAAATAAAAATAACAGTCTCTTAAGCAAAGCCAGTCATCTTTTTCCATCTTTGGGCCTACATTCTTTGTCCAGGGTTCCTCCTTCTTTGGAATTGGAAACCATATTTAAGTGCCACATGGCCTGCACGACTTTTGTTTCTGGATCTGCCCTGAAGTGGGAGGATCTGAGACAAGTTGCGGTAAGAACTGATTTTTTTTTTTTTCTCCTTGTAGTTAACCTCAACTGCAGTAATTTAGATGATAGGGTGTGTACTCTTTTAAAAGCATTACCCCAGACCCTTAAATTTAGGGAAATATGACTTTCTTAATTTTAAAAACTGATCATAAAGGAAATGTAGTAATTTGTCTCCAGTTCCTTTTTGACAAATATCAAACACACCTCACTGTTTACCTACACTTACAGTGAAGTTATTTGGTTCACTAAATTCTCTATCTAGAGCTGTTTTATTTTCACACACTAAGAGAGCTGAAAAAATTATGGATAGCAAAAGTGTGTTTGATCTTACCATTCAAGTGGGATTTTTACCAGAGGACAGATTTACCAACTTCTAAACACACTGATATGCCTTCAGATAGGAAAGACATGAAGGAAAATAGCAGTGATCCCATTAAGGTTAGGACTAAAACTAATGATTAAAGGCCAACCCTCTAGACAGCTTTCATTTAAGATCAAAGCCAGCTCCCTCTCATTTTGTAGGTTTCACAGAATCATATAAATCAAAAGGCTTCAGTTTTTTAAAGCAGAAATCTGCAGTTAACACAGAGAATTGAAGCAGAAAATGACAGACTCAGAATAACCATTCTCTTCCCTGTATCTTGGTTTTATAAGAGCCATACCAATAATTTTTTAGAATCTTAAGATTCAGAATCCACAAACAGTGAATGACTGCTTACTTTGAGCTAAGCAGACATCCAGTTCATTCTTTGCCGATAAGCATAAAAGCATAGAGGCAGCTGCTTTAAAATACCTTGTTACCCATCAGTAGGCATAATTGATGATTAGGATGATAGGAGAAATATAACTATGCACTTTACCCATTTTAAAGCAATCTAGGATCTGGGTGGAAGACCCTGTGCCCTAGTCCACCCCTTGGAGCTCTCGCAGCCCATGAAGCATTTGCAGGACTGCAATTCTCATGTTATTGAATCCTTATCAGAACTCCTTCCCAAGTCTGTTCTATTTCTTATTGGAAATTTTATGGAAAAAAAGCATAAGAAAACACAAAAGAGGAACACTAGAGCATTTGCCATGTAATTAACAAGATGGGTGCTGTTCAATCTTGAAGAATAGGTGGAATCCGCAGAAGCATGCCTGATTATAGCCAACCCTTTGTGCAGTGATCCCCACGCTGAAGACACTTCAAACATTATGAGGTAAAAATCTGGTCCTGTGTTCTTATTGCTCCAATGCTGATTTATTTCTGCCTCTTTTAAAATAAAGCCTGGAACATAGGCCTAAACAGGAGAAGATGTCATTTACTATAGCACTAGGTTCATCATATTACGGGTTTCTGCCTTCTTTTTTTTTTTTTTGCCCCTAGAGATGGTGCAGATGTATGAAAAAGTAATTGAAAAATAGAATATCCTGTATATCTATGGGCTTCTCTACATACTTTCCTGAAGTTTCACATAATAGCTGTCCAAATTTAAAAAGCAAGCAAACAAATAACTGATAACTGTTCAGGTAGTGTCATTCTAAGTAACATCCTCTCGCCCTCAAAAACAGACATGCCATTGGTGTTATGTGAATGCTATTAGTAGACTTTATGTATAGGTTTTTTTTCCCAGTAGTTCTGGAAAAAAGTAAAGTAAAAGATTGTTCATGGTTCCTTGGGATATGCTTGTGACTATTGGAAATTCTTTTTAAGATAGCTAGAATTAGTTACCATCTTTAACTGTGAACTATCTATGAGCAGAAACTTGACTTGTAACAGACTCAAACTATCATTGTGATGGCAATAGCATTGTTCCTAACCCAGATGATCTTCTTGCCCCCAAGGCAAAATAAGTATAAATAGCTGGAGGTAACTCTACAAATAGTAAGAAACAGCTGAGAATTGGCACTCTGCATAATAGAGTAAATATGACACAAACTTTAGTCTCTTAACTCTGAATTGAATTGTATTACAAAAACACTGTATGTGGCACATCACTGATGAAAATATTCATTGTTTATGTAGGGTACTGTCTATCAAGAACTATAGCCCTAATACCAGAGTCATCATACAGATACTTCAGTCCCATAACAAGGTACTGTAACTTTCTAGCCTATCCAGTCACCTTGTCTGTTAGTCTGTGGTGCTAGATGAACTTAGTTTATCTAAGTAATAGCTGAATTTATTACTTCCAAGTGAATTTACACTCAAGAAGTTTTTGCCAACTCTAGGTGAAATTTGGACTCTCACTAAGATTGTTAATCACTTACAAATGTAAATTCAGAAAGAGGTATATTTGTGTATTTTAAAAACTGCTACCTGATGGTCTAACTTCCAGATCGTCTTGAATCTAAGTGATGAATGAGATCCTTTGCTTTGGGACACTGACAGGTCTTGGCACACTCTCAACTCCTGGGAGCCACTAAAGCCTAAGTAGACTGGTTGGACAATCACAAAAGTTTGAGAGACAACCAAGAGCTAGGTTATGGTTGATTGATATGGTTCATCATGTACATGAAGCCATTCCCTTAAGACTAGGAGAGGTTGATGTTTTCTCTCAGGCATAAAAACAAACAGAGAATCAAAGAAAATGAAGAAACATGAATATGTTTTCTAAACAAAAAGCAAAAAAAGACAAAACCTCAGAAAAATACATTAATGAAAGAGATGAATGGCTTACCTGACAAAGAGTTCAAAATAACTGTCATGAAAATGTTATTGAACTTGGAAGAAGAATGAATGAAAAAGTAAATATTTCAACAAAGAAGTAGAAAATATCAGAAAGTACCAAATAGAAGTCACAGAGTAATACAATAACTGAACTGAAAAATGCAAAACAGGCTCAGCTCAGACTAGATGAATCAGAAGAAAGGATCAATAAAATGGAAGATAGAGGAGTGGAACTCACCTAATCAGAGCAGCAAAAAAGAAAAAAGAATGCAAATGAGTTTAGACAGCTTAAGCAGCTTGTGGGACAACATCAAGTGGACCAACATTTGCATTATAGGGTCCCAGAAGGAGAAGAGAGGCAAAAAGGGGCAGAAACCTTATTTGAAGAAACAATGGCTGAAAACATCCCTAACATGGGGAAGGAATCAGACATCCAGAATCAGGAAGCCAAAAATGCAAAATAAGTGGAACTCAAAGAGATCCACACTAAGACACGTTAAAGTGTCAAAAGTTAAGGACAACCAAAAGTAGTTTATCTGAGACTTTTCTTGTTTCTCGAGGTAGGTATTCATTACTATGATCTCACTTATATGTTGAATCTAAAAATAAAACAAACATACAAACAAACCATGAACTCTTAGATGCAGAGAACATACTGGTGGTTGCCAGAAGGAGGGGATGGGAATGGGAAAAATTGGTGAAAAAGATCAAAAGGTACAAACTTCAAGTCAGAAAATAAATAAATCACGGTGGTATAATATACAGTATGGTGGCTATAGTTAATAATACTTTATTATATATTTGAAGTTATTAAGAGAATTTCTAAAGTTACAATCACAACAAAAAATAATAACCACAATGGTGATGGATGTTAAATAGACTTATTTTTGTGATCATTTTGCAATGTATATAAATATTAAATCATATATTCTCTCTGATTGGTGTTTCACCAATCAGAGAGAATATATGACCAGAAAGTACCCAGCCATGTAATATGAGACATAGTGACATCTATGGAAGAAGATACAAAAAACATTGTACATAGGACAATGACGCCTCTGTCCCCTTCAAAGTAGGCACCTTGGGACTTCACACAGTTCTCCTAGTTACCATCAGCTGCCCTGTTGCATTTTCCTGAATCTCATTGGCAGTCTGAAATATGCCCTTTCAAAGCTGATTTTAGTTTTGCGAGAAGCCAGAAGTTGCAGGGCACCAAATCTGGGCCATAGTTGGTCTGAGCCACCTGGGTGATTTGATGTTTCACCAAAAAACTCTGCATGAGATGTGATGCATGAGCAGGCACATTATTGTGATGAAGCTGCCACTCACCAGTTGCCCATAGCCGTGACCTTCTGAATCATTCAAATAGTTTCTGTGGAAGAATGTTCAAGCTGAACGCAAAATTTAATGCAGATTCATTGCTCTCCTCATTCAGTCATTTTGAATGAGATGGCCACACAGTACACATGCTCACTCAACAACATCTACCACCCCCACTGACTATTACAGTGAAGTTATCATTGTTCGTGCATGTGCATTCCAGTCCACTCTCCTTGGCCGCGAGGTTATGTCGATGTCGTACAATCCATTCTTGGTATATTAAGAATGGTTAGACTTTTTCCAGACAGGCCTTTATGCACCCCTTTGTTCATAGAAGCTTTATTTGCAATAGCCCAGATCTGAAAACAGCCCAAGTGCCCATCAGTATATGAGTAGATTAAAAAAATGTAGTACATTTACACAATGGAATACTACATAGCTGTAAAAAAAAGAAGGAACTCTTACTCTTTGAGACAGCATAGATGGACCTGGAGAATATTATGATAAGTGAAATAAGCCAGACAAAGAAAGGCAAATACCATATGTAGAATCTAATGAACAAAATAAAACAAAAGGCATGGATACATGGAACAGACTGACAGATCTCAGAGGGGAAGAAGTGTGGGGGACTGGAAGAGACTAGCTAAAAAACACATATACATACACGCATAGCACATGGGCACAGACAATAATGTGGTGAAGGCTGAGTGGAGGGGACTAATGGGGAAAAATGGGACATCTGTAATAGTATCACCAACTAAAAATAATATTGGCTTGTTATGTTGCATACCTAAAACTAATATAATGTCATATATCAGTTATACCTTAATAAACAATACCCCTCAAAAATAAATAAACAAAAAGGATTACGAATTTGGAGTAGAATCTAAGTCTAAGCCATTTGACCTGTTTTTGCAACTATAGCTATTTTTGTTTTAAAAAGTATAGCAGTTGACCACTAACCACTTATAAATGTTGAATTTGTTCTTTTCTCTTGACCTAGGCATAATACATGCTTTAAAGTGAAATAAACCCATTTATCTAGAAAGAACTTTATCAAATTATATGTATTCTTAGTATTTGATCTACTTTCTACCATGAAACAGGTTTTTCTGCCAAAGATTCCCAACTGGAACTGGACTACTGGAGACAACATCATCTGTTTTGCTGAACTGAAGCTTGGACTTATTGCCCAAGGCTGTTTGGTGCCAGGCTTGTGTACTTTTCTAACATCTCTATTTCTTGAGCATAATAGTAAGGTAACCTTGTAAATTGATGTTGAATCATGGCTCTATCCCCATGTTCTCAAGCATTAGAGTCAGAAATAGATATAAAAATTGAGGAAAGAAAGAAGGCCCCAAGAAATGAGATTCAACTTCTACTTGAGCTGAAAGTACCAGATTGATATCCTAGGTACTGCATTACCCTTGAAACAAGTTATTTATCTTATTCTTGCCTAAGAATATTTATCTGCAAAATAGAGATCATAACTCTGCTTCCTACCTGCTCCACGATAATATGAATGTAAATGTATTCATAAATGTAGAAGTGCTTTGAGTTATTGAAAGTAGAAATATAATTAAAGATTGTTATTATCAGAGAAGTCATATATTTAAATATAAATTAAATATAAAATAATCAACATGATAATAAATAATTATATTTATCAAGCATAAATAGTAACACAAATAATAATTAAAGTCTAATTTTCTAGGTTACTTTGGGGGCATTCCATACAGTAATAATAATGACCACATAGCTAGTGCCTACTATATGTTATGCATTTTAAATACATTGTCTCCCCTTAATAATATTTAAAGGTAGTGTCCCAGTAATGGGTCAACGATGCTAAAAAACTTGGTTGTATAATCAGTGAGTAGCAGAACCAGAATTGTCTAACCTATGATCTTACCACTGTGCCCTGTCCCTGTGGTTTTAGATAGCCACAATCTCCCATATCAGGTCCAATGATACGTTTGTCTGAGACAAAAAAAAAAAAAAGCAGCTAAAAAGGGCTATTGAAATGAATTAATACAGCACATAGTATGGCCTTCAAAATGCCATTCTCATGAAATGTTTTAATCCTCACCTGGGCCTGGTATCCTATCGTCCAAAGCCCTCTCGAGATTGATCTTTCTCTTCATTTAATTATGAGTCCACATTTGCCTTCTTTACATGCAATTTTCTCCTGGTCTCTCTTCACACTCTACTTCCTTTGTTCAATAAATTCAAAAAATGTTTACATTTTTTCTGATGCTATTAAGGAGAAGCAAAAGAGGTGAAGGATGTTCTGGCTAGCAAGATGCTCATTGGAACACAAAGAGTTCTTCTGTGGTTCCTTCTGTGAATGTAAGGAGACATGATACGCAGAGGAATAGAAATGGCCGTCAGGCAGACAGAAGCAGGCCTGACGCTCTCGCAGTGACCATGCTTTCCCCTTTGCTTGGCGGTCACTGTGTATGGCCTAGAAAGGGGCTTGTCAGGAAATCCTCTTTGTGTTGTACGGTTAGGAAGTGGAAGATAACTGCCATGTCTGTTGTGATAATTGCGATTTTAATCTCTGTGGCTAGGGAAAATGAAAGGAATGAGTTCTCTATCTGAAAAGCTCATTTCTCTCATGGCAATGAAAGATGCAGAAATGTAAAACCAGCCCTTTTGTGCTTTTCTCTTTTTTTCTTGTTTAATTTTATTTTTAAAAATATGTTATTGTTGATGCTATTATAGTATTATAATTGTCCCACTTTTCCCCCTTCACCCTCCTCTACCCAGCCCACGCCCAACTTCCGTAATCCGTCCTTCATCATGGCCCATGTCCATGGGTCCTTCATATATATTCTATGACTAATCCCTTCGTCTTTCAGCCAGTCCCCACCTCCCCCTTCCCTTCTTACTGCTGTTAGTCTGCTCAATGATTCTATGCCTCTGCCTCTGTTTTGCTCATTAATTTATTCTGTTCATTAGATTCCTCTTATAAATGAGATCATATGGTATTTGTCTTTCATCGACTGGCTTATTTCTCTTAGCATAAGAGTCTCCATCTTCAGTTGTAACCTCATCACTGAGGATGCTTATCTGCCAATAGTCGTCACAAGATGGTTTTTGGAATACAGGAATTGAGAGGTATTTGTGCTCATGATTTTTTTTTATATGTAAACTCACTTTCAGAAATCCTAAACTGGACAGAGTGAGGCAGAGCAAGACATTTTAATGCTGTTTGCTGCCCTGGTGCTTTAAATTCTGTAATTAACTATTTACTTAAGTTTCATAGCCAGGACTCCAGTATTGTATGCCCCACTTTTCTCAGATTAAGCACTTAACTTTCACTGTCAGTGTTTGCATCTATAAATGAGAGTTATTAATCTCATTACCAGATTTTTCCAAGTATTGAGTTAATATTTGTAAAACTTCTGAGTACTCAGATCAAAAGGCCTTGGATCGATAGCATGCGTGTGTTTGTTTTTTAGTATATTGAGTATATGGTGGGAAATTGCAGTTTGAAAAGCAATCTGGTTGGTGTTAGGCAAAAAAAATTTCCTTACAAGCTAAAACTTTGATTAGATCTAATTCCGCTGATTTACTTGAGCTCTCCAATTCTACTATCTAAATCTAAAATCTTTCTTGTCTTCCTGTTTCCCTTTCTGACATTTTAAAAACTAATTCAGGAAGTCTTCTCTATCTCTATGGTTATTATTTTATACCCTTTTCCAAAAGTGAAACATTTAGATTAAAAGCACTAAGCCAATTTCTTCAGTAGTATGGACTTAAATAGTGGTATGAAGTGTCCAATGAAGTGAGCACTCTACAACAGAGGAATTTAAGAGAGCCGGAGATTCAGCTGAGTCTTGGGAAGCATTGGGGGTTCCTGGATTGCAGGAAATGGTGGTCCTTTTTAGCAGGGCAGAAATATGTGTTTGTGTTTTTGTTTTTATTTGTTTTTCCTAAACCACAAAATGGCCCTTGGAACAGTATTTCTGAACTGACCTTGACTCTACATGGCTACAATGTTTCAGAGTGCATAGAAATTCCAGACTTTCATCTGAGGTTCGGAGCTTTAAGGGGCCTGTTCCTGCCACATCCGAACAGTGTGGTACTGATTCTTGTGGAAGCAGGTGGGGGACAATGAGAAGGACGCAAAGAAAGCATAATAAAGTTTTGAGGGCTCTTACACACATAACAGAGATGAGTGATCCACCCTATCCTGCCGCCTCAGGTTGAATTTATCCTTTTTGAGAGATACCCTCCCTTCACAGCTCTCATTTCTCTAGAAACCTACTGCTATCCTTGATTTTTACAGTTGCATTCCATTAATAAGGGTGGCTCTTTGAATTCATTTGAATCCATGAAGGGTTCTGATACTGAGCAGAAACCATGTGTATTTTTTTTCTTTGTGGTAGAAACATTCCTCAGAGATATTTGGGGATGGTTCTAGACCATCGCCATCAAGTGAGTATCTCTATAAAGTGACTCATAGTCTTTGCTGGTGGAGGGCGGTACTATCAATTTGTAAAAAACAAACAAACAAACAAACAAACAAACAAAAAACCCACAACATCTGTGAAGTGCAATAAAGTCAAACACAATAAAATGAGATATGCCTGTAGTTAGTTAAAAAAATAATACGTTTAAAAAAACCAATCTTGAACAGCATATCTAGGGAGAGAAAACTTACATTCTGTATTATCCTTCCCATCTTCTTACTTACTCAAAAGCCAATCTACTTTGCTGAGATTATTAGAAGAATTCTAATTTCCAGCAAGGAGCTGCCCTGTGGGAAGAAACTAAGTTATGCTTCCACTTCATTCTGAACTTTTTAGTGAAAAGACTTGAGATGTATGTTAGAGTTTTAGCTCTTCCCTTGACATTTCTCCATTTAAGCACTAGGACAAATCTCCTTCCTACCACCTAAGTACAATGGGTACTGGCTTGCTGCTTAGCAAAATATACAGCTTGGATTATAGCATCCCGTATTCCATGTCAAGTGCTTCATGCGGCACAATTGTATATTACAGGTTTGTCCTAAACAATCCTGGCAAAAAATTTTCTTAAGTGGCCTGAAGAACAAAATCCTGACTCAGCGTCTCTCTGATGACTTTGCCGGAATGACTTTTCCTGAAGTTTCCCGGTAAGTTAAAAGAAACACTTTCTGCATTTTTTCACGCAACAACAGTCTCTCAACAATGTTCATTGATGACTCTGGCAAGCACTGAAGACATAAGACTGTAAGATAAAAGAATGAATACGTCTGAGTCTTTGCAACCTAAAATTTGGGGGACAATATTTCTCTGTCCCAGTGGGCATGCTGGCTATGCGATACTTCAGGCTGGATTCACATGCAAGGGAGAATTCCATATTTGGGAAGCCCTTCCTCTGCTGAGGTGCTGGCATTCTTGCAGGTGCAGAGGACCAAGAGTTAGACATAGTATCGTGGAGCAGCACCCTGCTGTCCTCCCTCTCCTCACGACTCTTGTCTTCCTTTCCAGGCTCTGCTTTGTGAAGCTGCACCTCATGCTGATAGCCATCGAGCACAAATCCATGTTTTCCGGTTACTGGTAGCAATGAGGCTTCAAACCTCTTCAGTTTTGGGGATTTTTTTTTGGGGGGGGGGTTGGATTTTATGATTAAGACTTTTCCAAAGAATACAGCAGTAACTAAGCTTTCTGCCATTTGCTGAGAGCCAGTCTATCGGGCACCCAGGTGGCTGTGGTGTATTTCATATTATCTCCAATGACTGAGGTTAGAATGGTTACCCTGAAGGGTGGACAGGCGCTTTGCCTTTGCTCCTATGACCCTGCCCCTATTCTCGTCAGTGGGGGAGAGAAGAAATGGCCATCTTCACCGACCTGATCCTCTGACCCACAGGTCTGACCCAAGACCTGATGTATTACCAGGTCTTGCAAATCTTGACCATGAAACCATACTATGAAATAGAATTATCTATACTAAAAAATGTTCTCATAAGCTCTAGTGTTAGAAAAAAATTGCAAGATATGGCCAAATAGGAATTTGACTGACCTACTAGATAAAGTCTCCTGTTAATAAGGAAGGTAAAACAAAGAGATAACTTTACCAGCATTTCCTGAGAACCCATGTTGGATGATATGAGAAGTCAGAGAAGTTATCATGTAATAAAAAGTAAAATTTAGGACAAATAGAGAATCAGCTACAATGATATATAGTGAAAAGATGATGAAAAATGAAAAAGGGGGCTTAAGTAGATGGGGAACAAGAAAGATGTTGGCTTATGTATGGTTTTTAGTTTAAAACTACCTTAAGTTAAATTAGAATCCACACATTAGATTCTAGTTCTGATTATGATTTGCCAGCCCGGTGGCCTTGGCAAAGTGTTCATCATCTATAAAATGAGGAACTCACATTAATGAACACCCGAGACCCCTTCCAGCTCTAAAATTGACATTACCAGGAACCCTGCAATCACAAGGAAACAGTCAAAACTCAATAATTTTGAGTGATAGCACATGGACTACAAAGGAATGATTTTATACAAAAGTTTGGACAGAACAATAGTCCTGTGTAAGCAGAAAACATGCAGAAGAAATCTGGGCAAAAGAAACCAGTGGGGTACCCTGCAAAGCAAGTCATGAAGGAGAGGATAACAAGAAGTAGTGTCTGGCTGCCTAAATTCTATTCAGCAGTCCTGCTATTCTCAAGAAAAATCTTAAAATCTAAACCTAAACCTGGGAATTTAGATTTCAGACCAGCCCAAAACTTGGTCAAGTTTTAACATCTTTTTGGCTCTTTACAACCTGGGCTGCACATCAGAATTATGTGCAAAGTTTTAAAGTCTTCTAGATTGTAAAACCCCACTTCTGGATTTGACAAAACCAAAATCTCCAGGGGTGGAGCCTGAGACGTTTCAAAGTCCCCATGGTACAGTAAGTTCATTTACTAGCCTTTGGAGACTACTAGCCCAACTGCTTTTCAGATCCTCTTCAACTCGGACATCCTAGATCTCTGTAAACATGGTTAGAATGACTAGTAGGACATTGTACACTGGAAACATGAATATCTATTAAGCAACTAATTTCTATATATATATGACAGGTCCTGGTGCTGTTTCCTATCTAGCACACATCTACTACCCACAATGAAAGAGGAACTTGTTCTAACATAGATTTATCTTTGGTTTCTCACCAAAATGTCAGGTGAATCAAACAAAGTAAATCCTGATTTGGCAAAGATACTAATAATAGCAATCTCTTACATGATTGCTAGTTCATGACCAACAGTGCTCTGGGCACTTGACTTACGTTAACTCTTGAATCCTCCCAGCGATGCGGTGAGATGTGCACAATTATTAGCTAATGTCACAGAGGAGAAGGCGGAGGCCCGGAAAGGTTAACTTGTTTCTCCAAACTCACACTACTCCCAAGTGGCAGGGCCAGAATCTGAACTCAAGCTGGCTCAGGGGCTGCGCTTCAGATCACCAAGCTGTACTAAATCCACCACAGCCATGGAAAGTAGAAGAAAAACAGGACATCTCAATGGCTGGCCTTTAGGCGAGTGTCTTTAAACACTGATGAAAAACCTCTTTTCTCACCTTTTATTTTCTCTTCTAATTAATACACTTGAATATACTCTAAGACTTGCAAAGCCCCTGGGTAATCATAAAGATTTGTCTTAGGGAATAATTTGTCACCTGCTAAAAGATAAAGTTGGACCTGGCCCAGTTAGATAATATTCTGAGGTTGTTCCAGTAGCGAACATTCTCTAATAAAGCAATTGGCCATGATTAATGAGGAGGGGAATTAAGCAATAAGGCCAGTTCAGAAAAATCTTCAAAAGTTCACCTCTTCTTTCAAATGCAACCAGAGATATTAATAATGACAGAATCTTCATAGCTAAATATTTCATAAGAGTTCAAAAAACCATCACTTTAAAAAAGGAGATATGAAGGTACAACTAAGTATATGCTTGCTAGCTAGTGAACTATAACCAATCATATTTGCGGTGGGAGTTACAAACCCACGTTCTTTCTCTTTCTTAGTTAAAACAAGCATTCCACTCATTAATATCAGTCAGAAAATACTCAGAAAATGCCATACAATGTCTTAGGTAATAATCTACCTGAACAGAACTGTTCAGCATCTTTCTCTTCTTGGCATTGAGCTGCAGAGCTTTTGTTGTGCAAGCCCTTTTATTGTTGTGAGACCCCAGCCCTTGGAAGTTCCTTGGGAGTACGTACCCTCACAGCAGAATAAGCTTTGCCAAGATAGAGACTTAACCTCTTTCCAATGTGAATATAAAAGGAATGTGTTCAAAGAACAAAAGGAAAGCTTTCATCATGCACAAATGAAGTGCAGGGAGTTACAGCGTTATAAGATCTTATCATACTGGAGGGCTGAAAACAACAAAAGATCTGACAAACAGAGGGAGAAATGTGAAGAACTCAAGTCGTCATAACAGAGTACTGCATCAAGGGATCCCATGGATGAAATTTGTAAGGCAGCTTTTCAATCACATAAACCATAAGAAAATCGAAAATCAAAACATTCAAGTGATGTAGAAATAGAAACAATTCATGTGGTTCCTACTCTGAAAATCTTGCAATCTGAAGACAATGACGTCAAAAGAAACATACAAGTTCAGACAACATATAGGCAACTAAAAGGAACTTTTGAACCCAACTGACTAGTAGACTTGATTTAATGTTAAAGGTCAAGTCGCCTAAGAATGAGCACCCCTAGTAAGTCTAGCAACTGTGTGGCCTTGGCCTAGATGGCAGTGGGCAGCCTAAGCCGTGGAGGCTTCCTCTATCTGAGCTGGTCTGACCATCTCAGAATCAGGACACAGTCCAAGAAGGAGCTTCCCCTTAGCTCAGCTGTGCAGCAGCTCAGCAGTTGTGTTGAGACCTGGCTTCCCTCAGCATATTGAGCAGCAGCCAGAGTATTAAATACAGTCAAATTCACATTTTCTACCATGTTTAGCAGTAAAAGGGGATTGAGTCCTATTAACTCTGCAATTTAGAGAATCCATTGGTAATGACAGAATGAAACACCAAATATTGGCACAGAAATTGAAGGGGAAAATTACTGTATTTTTCTTTTCTGTCTCTAGTGGTCTGATACTAAATCCACCTGCACAGGTTAAGCTGCATAAGAACACATTAGGCTTCTTCATTGCTGATTCTGCAAAAGATGTCAAAAGGTAATTTTTTTTATTACTTTATGGGAAGAAAGTCCTAAAGCACATACAACTTAATGGCAGGCCGACTGAGTCAGCGCCATGCTTAGTGTGAAGCCTCACATAAGTCATTCTTGATTTGCTTTCATTGTCCAGAGCCTTCTTTTACTGTGCCACCTGTCACAGTGACGTGCCTTCTCCTGAGCTAATTGAAAAATGTAGCTGCAAAAGCAAGACCTACCGATCTTTCACAGGTAACTGCCTTTATTTCTGGCTGTCCTCAGCCCAGCTTCTGGGGGTGTGGCCAAGGAAAGAGGAGAGGTCTCCCCTTACAGGACAATGCCCGGCCAAGAAGTGGCAGGCATTTCCCCACTGGGCATGCAAGACCTGGGAATCAGTCTTTTAGAGCCGAAAGCAACCTTACTACTTACTTAGTTCAGCTCGATCACCGGCCAGGCAGATGAGCTCTGAAGGAGGCTCACTGAGAAGCAGGTCCACGGGGCCTCGCCTGCTGCAGTTCTGCGTGCAAAGTTCAAGGCTCTGTCTTAACCCTGTCTTCATTTTTTCTGAACATTTCAATTTCCCCTTGAGAATCTAAGACAGTTTGGGGCATAGAAAAACAATCAAACAAACAAACAACAAAAACCTATTCCTAAGATGGCCACATACAAGCCCAAAAGAGAGGCCTCAGATGACACCAACCTCACCAAAACTCTGATCTTGAACTTCCAGCTTCAAGGACTGTGAGAAAATAAATATGTTTTCACACCAAAAGAGAAAGAAACTAATAATTTCCTGAAATGCTTTAGTCTGAAGAATATTATTGATTAAACGGGCTAAGACCCTACTGTGGGTTTAGAAGTTAAACATTGACTCTTTTTGAATTCTATAACAATATGAATCTTTTTTGAGGCAATAGATGAAGCTGACTAAATACCAGAAATGTCCCACTAAAGAAGGTGTGAATAGGAAGGAAAAGTACGTAAAAAGTATGATCTCACTATACATATCTTTATACTCTTATGAAAATTTAGCATGGTTTCATGCAATAAACATATTCCTACAAACACAACGTGCAAATAAATTATACACACTCATATGTTTGCACAGCTATCAGTCATTTTGCAAAACAAAAATGTTTTATAAAAATGTGTCATCATCCCTTTATTTAGCTGACTTTTATGTGTGGTTTTACTATAAATATTTTAAAGCAGTAAGTTGCTGTCACATAAAGATAGAAATATTTTTGTTTAAAGAGAAAGACTCTGCCTTCATATTGGTATATAAACCAAATTTTACCCACTTCTAGGACATGTATTTTATAGTATCAAAGGAATAAATTAGAAAAACTTACAAATCTAATGTTTGAGCTTTGATGTAGTTTTCACATTCCTCAGAACTCTTTGGTTCTCATAATAGAATCATTTCTTCTTCCATACTGATCCTCAGTCACCATTCCTACCAAGCCTATCCTATTGGATTCAGGAGAACTCTATTAATCTAGTATGGAGACTCTTAAATAGCAAGCAATGAGCGAGTCAGCTGCTCTTGACTTCAATTTGCCAGGTGATGGCAGCAGAGTTCCATGCAACATTTACTGATCTTGTGGCTAGAGAGCGGACTTAAGAGTGAATTTGAATCTGGAGAGTTAGTTCTAGCCAAAATGTTCCAACAAGGACATCATTCTAGAAGCCAAGTGCTTGGCCTTATATTTCTAAAAGTCATGATAATATCTGGAAATTATCCCAGAGAATTAACTTTCAAAAAAGGACTTAGAAACTTACCAATGGATGACAAAACAGATGCTTTATTGATTTTGGATTAGTACTGATTCCAGGTGGCACATTTCATCTTTCAAGAGCCAGGGGAAGGGTATCCCCAGTCTACTCCCTTCAAATAAATATCACTTGCTTGAACTAGTGAAGTTTTCTCAGTTCCACCAACTCCTTCCTCCTACTATACCAAATGAGAATTCAGAAAACTTGAATTCTGACCGCAGCTGTACCACTCATTAGCTGTGGTTTAAGGAAAAGAGGTTACCTTTTGGGGTCTTGGTGTAATTTCCAAACTTGGAAGTTCTCAGCACCTCTCTGACCTTTTTTCATTCTGGTATTCCAGCGATTTTCCATTGATATGCCTCAAGAATTTTTAAAACTTGCAATACCTGACTATTTAGTCAGGGGCGCTGACTTCTTTTCCCTTAGATTGTCAAATAAAAAAAAATGACAACAACCAACACAACAATAGCCATCCAGTGTGAATGAATAAAAATTATACCTATTTTTTTGTCAGATCAGCAAAAAATAAATTTTTGATGTGCTGCAGAATTTTAGTAATTAGTTTATGTGTGCCCTGAGATGGAAAAGGTTGACAGTGCTCTGATAGTCTAGGGTTCATAATCCCTCTACCTTCGATTACCTTCATTTTTCTAAACTAGAACCACACCAGACGCTCTCCGCTGAAGTTCATCGTCTGCAGCTTTAGAGAGGCAGCAGGGCACAGTGGCTAGAACGGGGACTCGGCATTGGTCACTTAGCTGAGTGATTTAGGGCAAATTATTTAAGGTCTTCCTATGCTTCACATTTCTGTAAAATGTTGATAATAATATTATATATCTCAGAGGATTAAATGAGAATATTAGCACATAAAGGTATACAAATTGAGTACATTAATATAAAAAGCATTTAGACCAGTGCCTGGAAAATGGTAAGTACTATATATATGTTAATTATCATATTACCTATGGGAACATAAAAAGAATTATTATTTTTTCTAATTAATGAAATACAGATGAAATATAAATTGGTAGAGAAGTTCTAGTAGATTGTACTGATTCTACGCCGTTCATTCGCATGAAGACTAAGAGGGCCAGCCTTCAGAGCAGGAGGGGTAACTGTCTTCCTGCTTTTCTGTGAAATGTAAGTTAGAGAAGTTCCTGGGCAGGAGTTTTCCTAGTGCCAACTGTCCAGTTCACTGCCTGCTATTTCACCATTGATATCTCGAATGTCAAAGGCAGCTCTTCGAGAAGCGGTCCTCAACCTGGGCAAGGAAGAGAACATAAGACTCTTCACATATGGTGGAGTAGAAGGAGTGGGCCATGTGAGGATGGCCCTCAGGAAAGCTGTGACCAAACACCCCTGACCCCCACTTCCTGAGAACTCTTTTAGGGTTCTCATTAGAATGCTAATCTTTCTAATGGAGTTACACCTGGAAGGGGATTTATGAAAATGAAATTGGAAAAAGGGTATGAAAAGTGTTAGAAATAGTTTGACTAGGTGGCCCAAACTTGAATTAACCTTACTTCACAGTTTTCATTAGGTCTGGCCCTGGGTCACTGTTTTCATAAACATCCAAGACTAACTGACCCATTTAAGAAAGGAGTCACCCCAGCCAAAGTGCCCTTAGGAGGAGAGTTCCACACCTCGAAGGCAGAGATGTAACCTCACTAATGACTCCACCAGTTCACCTCCCTGGGATGGCTTCCCAAGCATCTCTGAGGTCATCAGAGCTCTCCTCCTGTACCAATGACCTTCCGTAGCAGAGAGAGTAGAGGTGTTTCTGTATGACTCTTCTTTAAAGCCAGGTCATCATCGTGTGTCCACTGAATTCTAAAAAAAAGGAAAGCAATTTGGTAATAAGTCCACGAAGAACATACAGAAATATCTTGAATTTCTATGTTCATGACAGTTGTTATTGTTCTTTCTAATCCTGCAGTTGATTCTTTGGTCCTTACTATTCATCTCCACCTCAGCTGTGGCCCCCTTTATTTCTCATTCCAATGATTACAGCAGCTTTCTAGCTGGTTTCCCTGGATCTATAATGATTTTCATGAAAGTAGGTTCTTGTCATGAATGGATATATAAAGAAAGAAAGAAAGAGATGGATGAATGTTATCCTAACATAGGCAAGACTATAGTAGTGGCTTGATCTGTTGTCATGCTGGTTTTTCAGCTCTTACGAGCAGGGGTTCTTATGCAGAATATATGATATCACTTTTTAGGTGTGTGACAATGACAGGTAAATATAAAATTTTGTAAATAACTGCAACAAATTAGCTACTTAGTAGATTGGAGAAGGTTCAGAATTATCCAAATAATATAGGAATTATTTTCACTCATTTGAACATATGCTAATATTTCTTGAGGGAGATAGAAAGGAGTAGAATTCTTGCTATTCATTTGGAAATCATATATAAGGCATGTCTTAACATGTGATCTTATCATGCATGCCAGGAAGGGAATATGTTTGCAGAGTGGCTCTCAAGAAAATCACTTCTTGAAAAAGAGAGAAAGAAAATGATAATGTTGGTCACATACAGGACTCCCACTTTTTTTTCTAGTCATCCACAGTCCTTAGATGCCATGTCTTTTCTGATGTCCAACACTTTGCTCAAAACTTTATTTTAGAATATTCATAGGGAAGTCATGGTAAGCTGTGGCAAGACATTATCAGTCTAGCTAGAGTGTTAGGCAAAATCCATTCCATTTTTTTTTTTGTCTAAAATACGAAAAAATAGTTACTTGCACACTGTCAGCAATAGACAGATGAGAATATAAATAAATAAAATTATTGTCTTAAAATGAAACCAAAGAAACTTCAGTTATCAACTAACTGCCTTGAGAGAGGTAGCTTTGTTTTCCTATTGTTATTTTTATTTTTTTTGCTTTTTTTTTTTTTCAAGTGTTCAAAGCAGAATAGAAACAGGGGACAAGGACAATGATAGATTGTTGCTCATTTTTAAATGCCCTGTCTGCACTCTGGTAGAGAGAACACTTTCAGACTTTTTTCTTGAAAGTCGTTAGGATTATAGAATTCAGAGTTATAAGGGTCCAAAGGAGACCATGTGTGCCAATCCGTCTTTTACCTTCAGGCTGCCAACACAGAGCCAGAGGCTTCGCCAAACCTCATATAGGCTGTTCTTTCCAATCCCCACATCCATGCTTGTACTTTGATAATTATGAAAGTTTTCAAAATTATACAAATCATTAATGTGTTTTCAGAAGAGACTTTATAAAGAATGACACAAAGGAAGATTCAAAGTTTTAGCAAAAATTTCATACCTCTTTTTTAGTACCTGGCAAATGTTGTTGGCTGGAGAGTTAGGCTTTGAGAGAGCAGAGACTTCCCGAAAGTTCTATTGTTCCTAAGCCAGTTTGAGCATGTTGCTTTTTACATTCCATAGTTCAGCTTCTATCACGTGTCCTAAGCCACTAGCCTTTCGAAGCTGACAGTTGGTAACATACTAGTTCTCACTCAGACTTTTCTTCAGATGTTCCCTTCCCAGGCCAGTTCCCCAGGGCCAAAGGTAACCACGAAATAAGGAAACATCAGTCAACCTGAAAGCCTTCGTCAAGCCTCCATATTTAAGTGGAGGCTTCTGAGGATTAGAGGGAGGGAGCAGTCTTATGCCAAAGCTGGCTCTTAGCACACCTGTGTGATGCGATTACTAATGATTTAAGCCGACAAATCACACATCCAAAGGATGTCCCTCTTCTTCCAGAAGTGTATTTTGACTCAATATTTTCTATGGATTAGAACGGTTCAGAAAGAATTACAACAAAAGAAAAGGATACCAAGATTTTTGGGGGTGGCTTTTTATGTCTACCATTATCCAAAACCTGGTGATTTGTGGGTTTAAAGCCTTGTTTCACATGAACGCCCCATTCTGAGTAGTCTCAGTACAGAAATGGTTCTTAAATTGACACAGGAGGCATAGGCCATGTCTCTTTTCTCTACTTGGGTGGGCGAGAGAAGAGGAGCAGCAATGATGGCTGCTCTTTGACTTTGTCCCTTACCTTGATAACTTCTCCTCATCTCTGATCAGAGAATCTTCCCATCTCTGATCAGGTTCAGGCACGCAGATAATGCTGCGCCCTTGAAGAGTAAAGGCGAAGCATGTAACTTCCAAAGCATCCTTTAGAATGTTACTTTTTATCATAATACCAAATGCCAATTGACCAATAAAGTCTTCCTATCTTGGTTCATTGAAGGGATTCCTAGGTCAAATGTGGGTTCTGGACTAGGAATGTCATGAGCATGCACCAACATGTGGGTGCAGGAAGAGCCATTCCATCTCAGTGCAGCTTCATGTTGCTCACGTAATTATTCAACTTCAAATATTCTTCATTTTTCTTCACAATCACCCTTTGAAGTCTCAGTATTATCCCCATTTTTCAGATGAAAAAGTTATTTGTTTTTGCATTATTTCCAAATGTTTTCAGAATTAATAAAAGAAGCTGCATAGGAAAAATAAAGTTAATAGGAGGCAATACCCAAGTAGAATGAATTACAACCTGAGCGCTATCTGCAGAAGGGAGAAGGGGACTCAGTGTTTTTTTCTGAGAGTCTATAGTGGCTCTAGACCCTGCCAGTAGCACGGAGGCTCCCTAGATGCAGTGCTCTTGGCTGAGATGGGAGGAATGATGGATTAGAAAAATACAGCAGCAACTCAATAGGTACTTATTTTGAGCATACTACAATGTGGCATTGAAATCTTCACAATCATTTTTCACCCACTCTCAATTCTATAGAAGGAAATTAAACAGTCTCATAATTTACCCTCTTAGAACTAGTTTGTAGCTAAGAATCCCCAGCGTCTATCTAATTAAGGACCTAGAAATGTCTTAGCCAATAGTAATGGTTCAAAATTCTTTATGAGCAGATAGTATGCCAGTTCACTAATATTGCTGTGCTGTTGCAGGGTCAACAATAATGGTAAAGACCAGCAACATGAAGGAATTCCACGGGACAGCAATGAAGGGTTTTTTTCCAGGGGGACAGCCAAGGAGGGCTAGCAGCATGAACATTGTCACCAGGTAAGAACCTCAGAGAACCCTGTCCCTCTATGGTTTTCTGAGAGTCACAAGGCAATAAAAATTTCACTTAAACCAGAATATTTGCTTTATCACCTCCTATACTGACCAATGGAATTGTTTCTTACCAATATGAATTCACCCCTACTCCTCCCAATATCGTTAAGCTAAGCAACGATACCTCCCCCAACACTCCTGAAACAATTCATGGCCATGATAACCAAAGGTTATGCCCCTGCCCCTTTCAGATCGCCTTTCAGGTGCTCTAGAAATGTGAGTTGAGATGAAATTTCAATTATACCAAAATGGCTTTTTTATTATTAATATATTCCCCATTTTCAACAAATCAATGATGGGATGGCCTTTGTTTTGGAATCTGCAGAATAGGGTCAGTAAATCCACCCTCCTTTTCCCTACAGCTCTTTAATACATTAAAATTTTGATGAACTAGAATGCAGAGGGGGAAGGGGAGGGGGATCTGATCCGTCTAGTCATTTTAAGTAGAGGGTTGATCCAAAAGTTCTATCGCTCTAAACTCTAATATGAATATACTATGTTGGCAACATTGCACTTTAGTAGCTATCCGATACCAGGAAGATCTTTAACGGTGGAGAAATGTGATTGTATACTGTTAAATACTATATTATCAGCAGAGCATGGTCATTATGCTCTGGCATTACATAAGGTAAGTTCAAGTGCTGGCTCTGAACTTTCTGATTTTGGGCAACTTGCTTAACTACTATGTGTTTCAGTTTTGATATCTTAAACTGGTATAATCATAATGAATTCTTTATAGTTTTTTTTTTTTTTTTGTAGTAAGATTAGGTATTTAAAGCACTTGATTCCTGGCTGAGAGTAAGTGCTCTTTAAATATTCCTTATTATTGCTACTATCAATTATTATGTCTAGAAAGGTGTGCAAAATTGGACTGAATGTATAATAAATGCAGGGCCTTCCAAAGATACAGATTTTGAAATAAATCGTTGATGTTGTTTTTGATATAATTCTCCTCTTTCTTTTAATACATGGACACTCCTGCTTTTGTTTACCTAAGGATTCTGGATTGATGGGTTGCTTTAACTGAGGTTTTACTGTACCTCTTCTGTAAGTGAGGCAGCTGTGAAATGCCTGAGCCAGCAAAGGTGCCACCACTTCATGTGTGCACTGAGAGGAATATAAAAATCCCAGGAATTTTAGTTTCTACCCTTTCTTGCTTTTCATTCCAGGATTTTATGGAACTGAGATAACATGTAAACAAGGGTTAGGGACTGTTTAGAAGAAAGGTGCTATGAATTTTGTGAATTTATGTTTTGCCTCACTCTTAATGGCAACAAAACAGCTATAGGCTGGCATTGGGATTTGCACATAAATTTTTTTTCATTTAAAATTGTTGGTAAAGGTATTTACTGAACACCCTATGTGCTAGGTAGACACTGTGCTTGATGTGTTTGTAGATCTAGAAATCATGTTTCAACTCCTAGGCAGTCTAGTTAGGTAAACAAGGTGAATTCATATAAAATTAGTCAGAAGCCAAATAAGGCAACATTCCTTCAAATGCTGCATTGATGATTCTAGCAGCAGGTCAAAGGAGGAAGAGATCAAGGAGGGCTGGATGGATTGTTTTAGAAAGTTTTCTGTGGGAGGTGGGATTTGGGAAGGTGGAAGATAGTGGGAATTTCAACTCCTCTGAAGAATATGACATATACAAGGCATGGGACAAATGTGAGGCCTTCCATGTACCAGCTAGCCTGAGAAGAAGTGACAGTTCATGGTAGAATGCTGTGAGAAATAACATCGCATATTTCTTAAGAGTACATTCTTTGCTGTTGTTATTATGCATGTGTGTATATATGTGTGTACATTACATCTATGTTAATGCAAATGTGTTACAAAAGTTGTTCTAATTGGAAAATTGTTTTGATAGTATAAAGACAAGATACGTGATAACACATGAACTGCTCCAGCCATGTTGATACTTCCATTTATTCTTTGTCATGTCTTCTCTGTGATGATAGAAGATGGGCAATTCATGACCAATCGAAGCCACTGAAAATCCTCAGATGGAATTTTAGCCATTCGGTGTCACTGACTTTTCCTACTATTCTTGAGCACAGCACCCCCGCAAAAACCCCATAATAATTTAACTTATTGGTATTTTTCTCCTTGTATTTAATCCCCCATTGTCTATGATAAATAAGGAGAAGGTCTAAAGCAGGTATCTAAAAGGAGAATTGATCCACACAACCTAGTCCACCTGCAGACTGAGCCCATTAGCCTTGGATCTGGCTGGATGATCTCTGAATATGCTTTAAAAACCTCTAAATAAGGTGAGAGAGTGATAGTTACCATCCAGATCATCTCTAAAGATTATACTTAATTCACTTACACCTTTAAAAGCAAGATATGTTCACATGAACTAGAAGATTAAAAAAAAGACACTAATCAAGGTCATACTGCTGATCAGACAGTGGTATATGCTTCAATAGGTAAGTACCATTTGTGAGTGAGTTTCTGTGATACTTCAGCAATGGAGGTAGTTAGCTCAGTTGATATAAGTACAGTGTTAATGAGATCAATGAAAAAGCCAGTTCCCACTTTGTACTATAGAATAAGGTGGCTTTTTCTTTTGTTTTCATTTTCATATTTTTAAAGGGCAAAGGTAACTCCAGTCAGCAAATAGGCAAACAAAAGTCCTGGGTAACAACAGTGAGTGATAAAATGGAATTGATGGCTCAGTAGAGACAAATAGACATTATCAGGGAAAAAAATGTCAAATAAGTGATATGTGCTATTTGTGATCCATCTTTGATGTGTTAACAGTATTACATGCACATACCCAAATCAGCATAGTTTCATTTATAGTTTTGCTGACAATGAGCTTGATGCTTTTAAAGATGTAATCGTCAGGCCACCAGTGAGTTTTCTGGTCAGTTTAGAAAGTGCCAATTTTTATTTTTAGTACTTGAAGAAATACAGACAGCTCTAACTTACACAAAAGTTATATAGTCTGATATACCATTGCATCCCTGGTGACTTTCCTTTCCCATAGAATAAGCAATGTTTAAATAGCTATTAGGTTCTTAGACTAACAAACAAAAGTCTATTTAATAGAGGGTAGTTGAATATGTATTTCTGGAATAAATAAACACTATAAACACTAGTTCTATTTACCCGAGTCCTGTGTTCTTAAATCAAGGTGTCATGTAATATGAGAGATGAGAATTTCTTTTTCTTTTTCAGGTGATAAAATTAGACCTATGAAAAATTTGATGATAAAAACACATCTCAACCATTCCTACAGCCTCTTTGTCTTTGCTTCCAATTTCTTTATTCTGCTCATCCTGCTTTAGGTGAGCTGAGGGAGTTTCTGACCAACAACAAAATAACCACATCGAGTCATTCAGTTTTTTAAAAGTAGGTGTTAATAAACTCAGGGAGATATTGATAGATATCTAACCAGTAAAATAAGGAGAGGAAGATATTTCCAAGCAGTGTATGATAGATCTAGGTCAGTAGAGGAAACCATTTCTAATAGAAAGGTTTGTCTTCCTTGGACGTATCAACCCTTCACTAGCATTTCTCCCTCTGGATCTGCTTAATTGAACTCTAATAGACTGTATGGAAATCTGAATGTACTTTCTTTCCCATATAACTTCCCTTCCCATTATGTCTTTGTGAAACTTACAGCCAAGGTCATAATTATAATACCAACCCTTTTATACTCTCCATGTTCTTTCAGAGATACCAGAGACCATGAATGCCATTTTCTTCTCTCTTCTAAAGCCCAGCTTGGCCTTAGCTCTTTAAAGTTCAAGGGGCCCACAAACATCAGCCATGACTATTGCCACTAAAGCAGGCATGAGCCCTAGATTACCGTTCTCTGTAGCCTGTAAGCTTCAGTTTTCTCATCTGCAAAATAGAAATAATATTAGAACCTAAGCAATTGAGATGTTCTGAGGATTGAACGAGATAAAACAGATTAAATTGCAATGTAGAGCCTAACGCACAATAAAAATTGAGCAAGTGAAAAATGGTTCCTGCCGTTGTCACTCTGTTTCCCCATACCCCTCTGTAGCATTTCCCTGGCTCTTAGGTTTCCGTGCTTTGCAACCATTTTTGTTCACGTTCAGAGTGAGAGAGGGTTTGATGTTTAGGACCGCTCAAAATCTCACTCTCTACTACTCACTACTTACAGACTATCAGTTCAATGGAGCATATCAATAAGGTTTTCAGTGAAGCTTTATAAAGTAGTGCCTCCCACTGTTCATTCGCTTTGCCACATGCAAGTCTGCCTAGATCTTGTCATTTCCCCTCCAGAACAAGTCTCCTTCATGCCAATTCCACCTTCTTCTTTGGCTGTTTCCCAGCGTCTTCTAGCTCGCCTGATCCCATAGCAGTCTTCAGTTTCTCAGAAAATTGCACTCTGCTCAGAAGGACTGCTAGGATATTCTCTTTCAGGCCAGAAGCCTGTTAGTTAGCGTAAGAGGTACACTGACCCCAGAGGCGTGGGGAAATCCACCCATCTGGGAGAAATGATTTGTTTCACTTCTGACACACCCACCCCCAGCCATATGTAATTTATGCCCAGGTACGAATCCTGACACATCTGTCCCTGAGACCTCTCACTTTTAGGTCCTATGCCCTCCCCACACCACACATGCATACACGCACAAACACACATGCTGTTCTCTTAGGAAATGAAACAGGACCCTTTTTCCATCTTTACCCTCAGCTCTGCACAGCTGATGGAACTGGGCTGCAGATGATCCCGGCAAGAGAAACACCATCTTTTAGCCTCAGTGATGTCTGAACTCCTACTGAGGACCCGCTTCCAGGGTTTTTCAGGGGGCAGAATATGGGATATAAATGATCATTCATGATTCTTCTCTATTCACACACATCCTGTCTGAGCTTTCTATAGAAACCGATTTTCCATGAAACCTGAGCAGGCACTTTTTCTTTCTGTTCTTTCATATTAAGTTTTTCAAATGACTTTTCCTCTC